TTTGTAAAGTTTGGTTGTTTAGAATACCTCCACTTCAGTATAATACATATGTAATGGTTGTTTGCTTAGTGTATCTTCCACTTCAGTATGATACATATGTAAGGTAGGTTGTTCATAGTACCTCCACTTCAGTATCATACATATGTAATGGTAGGTTGTTTAGAGTACCCTCCACTTCAGTATAAGATGTATGTAGTGGTAGGTTGTTTAGAGTATCCTCGACTTCAGTATGATACATATGTAGTGGTAGGTTGTTTATAGTATCTTCCACTCAGTATGATACATATGTAATGGTAGGTTGTTTAGAGTATCCTCCACTTCAGTATGATACATATGTAATGGTAGATTGCTTAGAATATCCTCCACTTCATATCCTCCACCTATGTAATGGTAGGTTGTTTAGAGTACCCTTCAGTTCAGGATAATGGAGGGTCTCTAGTAGAGATGGGTTCTCTGAGGAGTTTTTCTTAAAGTTTGTCTAATAAGGTCAGAAAAATAAAGTGTTTGGTTAGGTAAATGAATTTCCAAATCATTTAATTTTATTGAAATGTCGAAAGTCTTATCTTTATGTTTTTATTGTTCTAAAAGAAAGTGATTTCTTGCCAGAATTGAGTTAAAAAGGAAAACACAGTTCTACTTTTAAACATTTCGCTTTATTGTTTACTCAAATGATGCTGTCAAACTACTAACTTCTTGTAGACTGCCTTAAATTTGTAATGCAGTTTTTCAAAAGATTTGGTCAAACAGCTTTATTCAGTCGAATGAATACTAAATCTTCATGTTTTTTCCTTTTCACGTCACATTCCGTGTTGAGTCATCTACTTTTATGGCATAAAAACTCATAAAGATAAAATTTTCATCCTTTAAATTATATTGTAAATATTCATAATCTTGATTCAACTATCTAAAGACGTTATCCTCTGACCCCTGGCATACACACTTTAACAATTTTACACCTTTTAACGAGGAATCCATAATCGCTTCATTTGTATCTTTTAAATCATACACAAATAACACATTTATTAACATTCATATTTTTATAGCACAAATCTAAAAGGTTTTGGAGTTCCAGTAATTTATAATGCATCATAATGGTTCACCATTTTGCTATTCTGTCAAGGATTTCCATCACAGGTATAAATGTACATAAATGATCACACGAAATATTTTTTGTTCAAATGAATTAACTTCTTTGGATGTACTAAACAATGTCATTTCTATTATTTATAAAATATTCTTTGTTTTTGGACCACTAACATTGTGTTGGAAGCCGCTCAATATTAATTTGGTCTTTTAACTGTACGCCGTGGTGCAGGTGCTAAATCGATATATTGTATCCACGTATACTTCCATTGGTACATACCGGTGAGACTGGACGACCTAATTTACAGCGCATTGCAAGCCAATCAGAGCCAAGGTTTCTGCATGAAGATGTTGATCTCTGCCAGATCGACATTGCATGATGCCTTGGCCAGAAGTCCAAAATGGCGGCTGTGTCAACTTGGTCTCACTGTCAACAGTAATTTCTAATTTAAGCATCGAGGAACTACGTAGTTCTGCAGGAGACCAGCATATTCATGCAGAAAACGTAGATCTGATTGGTGTAATGCTGTAAATCCCACAGGTATACAGCAATGGAAGTCTACATGGATACAATATATCACTATTTACTTGCTTTTCCACCTGCACCGTGCGTAGAGTTAAAAACCAAATTGTATTCTAAGGGTTCGAATGGCTTTATCAAACTACTTATCAAACTGATAAATCTTTGTGTGCTTCATCCGCCTCCATAATCCCATGCGTAAAGAAACTTAAAATATCGTCAAATTTTCAAGTCTCGGAAGCCATCTAACGCCGACCATTTTGATAGTGATTTTTCTTACCTACCCCCGGTTAAACTTAAAAGTCAGACGTATGGATTTGTTTTTGCGTAGTAACTTCGATTTGCTTTTGAGTAAGCTCGATTTATGCGGGCTTCTTTCAATTGCTTATCAGAAGCGTATATATAATTTACGAGCGTTTCATTCAAATGTATGGCATTAGTAATTTTTTCCTTTTTCTACGCCCATAAAAATCGTTTATGCAGCTAAGAGAATCGGTTGCAAAGCATTGTAAAGTACAAATTATAGTAGAGGCACTTCACATTAACAAAACTAACCCTAATCTCAACGTTCAAGTTTTCCGTTTTAACACTATATTCAGCCTGTAAATACACTTATCATTAACTCAAACCACTATTTCATTGAAATATTTATATATAATAATTTACTCATAATTGTATAAGTTGTATCACTGTATCATATTACTCTTATATATATTTATCACATACATAATACTCTTTTATTATACTGAAGATGGCATCATGAGATGTTGAAACATGTATTTTAAAAAAATTCTCGTTTTATTAAATGCGATTATCAATAGTACTTTTTACGCATAATGCATAACTGTTCCTACTTCATTAAAAGAGCTAAAATTCATTTTTCTTCTTTCTATCTCTTAGTACATTTTCTAAAAAACAGCCTCACAGATGTACTTTAGGTTTTTAGCTGTTCATTTATAAGGTAGTGAATAGTTTGTTTATTATTGCAGTGTTAATATTGTCAGGTTTTGTTTGAATTTCTATCGCTCATTCATAAAATCTTTTGCTTTTCAGACTTCCATTTTACTGTAAACAAACCAAATCTATGTGAATCATTCTTTCCTTCTCTGCAATCTTATCAATAATACAAGTCATCATATACCTTTTGTTTGTTTTTGCCACTACGAATTTAACATTATGATATTGTACTTGTGCTCCATTTTACTATCTCTAGCTACTTTGCTATATTCCACATCTTCTTTCTGACACACTCCTGCACTTCTTTCATTCCTCCACCAAATGTCCTGATGTACTTTTACTTCCTCACACATACAACTATTTTTACTGTACTCTAGATCGCATTTGCTTGAATAGCCAGTCCTTGGAAGCACATCCTGATCACTTAGAGCCTGTTTCAACCCCTCTCCACATAAACTACACAACTACTCTCTTTCTTACTATCTTTGTCCAATTTATCATTCTTCAGCTATAAGCAAGACACTCACCATTTTGTGCTGTCTCTACACGCCCATGGCTCATCTGCCACTACATTCACTTGATGTTCGCTTCCTTCTGGCAAAATTCATTTAATACAGCCATTTCTTTATTTTTGGCAAACTTCACCACCAATTGTCTTTTCTATGTTCCTATTGTGAACGCATAAACCTGCTCATTATTTTCTCATCACTTGATTGCCTGCATCAACATGTCCTGAAGTCAGAACCAATAACTATCCTCACACTTATGAAATTTTCTGTACCATTTCATCTTTTTGCACACTAAAAAATACCTTCCTCTAATTTGCATTCTACATTTAGAGCTTAATTGCACCAACTATTGCATTAAACATCAAACCTTTAATTTTTAACTTCACGCATTACTACTCTATTCTCTATAACATTCTTCAAACTCCTCCATCAAGATAAATCTTTCTCTTTTTCTAAATGAAACAACTTACAAGTGGACAAAAACTTAGTTCCCCTCATAAAAATTACTTGACGCGCTTTTTGTCCACTCGCTATAAATCCTGCTCTCATCCTCTAGCTTTGTTACCTTTCCTTCAAGATATTTACTTCTTCCCATTACATTATGTCCACCAACTGTCTAGCTTTTACTTACATTGTCCCAACATTTAAAGTTCTAAGTTCATGCAGTGCTTAACTCTGTAATTCGTCAACTCTTTCTTTGTGAAGATACGTTTTCTCCTCTTTGCAGACCTACAGTAATTCAATTCCATTTCCAGGATATGCGACTGATCTGGTATGGAAGACAAAGAACTGATTTACATATTTCATTTTGGCAATGGTTTTACTGGATGTTCTTCCTTAAGACGCAACCTCTGCATTTTCAGGCATTTGACTGGCATAAATAAAAAATAATGAAATATATATTTTAACTTTAATTAATTTCTTAAGATCTTTCCTTCTACAAATTCATACAACTGCATGATATATTGTTGTATATTGTATAAAATATTTGAACAAAGTGAGTTAACTTTAAAAAAATGCAGCTTTCAAGAGTTGCTTCATTCTTTTTTACTGCTAAAAGGCCATATAACTTTCCAGTTTTGATCCTCCAGTAACATTGTACACAATACAAAAAAACAATTCTTTTTTTCAGTGATTAATCTATTATAATAAGTGTAGTTAAATATAAAACTCTCCTATATAAATTGGAGATGTTTTGAAATTGTCAATACAAGCGTGTGTGTAATATACTTCAACAGAATATAAGTAAGATGACAAGATGCTTTCCAATCAAGCCATCATTGCATGGCATTGGCACAATCATGAAAAACAGCCACAGCTCCCACAGTTCTTCACCAAATAACTTTTTAAAGCCTTACTCAGTTTGAAGCATATTAATACTTATACCCTGGTTCGCAGAGTTCCTCGTGATAAACCCGAGCAATACCATGACCAAAGGGAATTCTTCTTCCATGCTCATCCCGAAAATATACTAGCACGCCAGACTCACCACTTTTAAGGAAATGTTCTTCGCTTTTTACCAGAACGGCATCCTCATACACGACCTTCTTTTCAGGCTCATTACAGGAATAAGAAACATCACAAATTTTCCCAATTTTATACTTCTATACTTTTTTTACTCAACTGTCTCGTGCGCAATATGAACTCGTTTATTCAGCTCCATCCATGCATCATTCCAAGAAGGTCTGTATATTCTATTTCGCTCGTAATTTTCTTTTAAAATCTTCATTAACTCTATTGACAAAATATCCATATCAGTTTGTAAATTATAGTCACTGAAATGGCCTAAGTAAATTTTTAGGTTCTGAAGGTGATGTAGTGGTATTTATTTGTATTCAAATGTAATTTAAATTCGTTTGGGCTCATTTTTGTTTTGATTGAGCATTTCTGTAAAACTTGTCATCACCATGTCCATTGTAACAGACGACAACAGGTCAACGCGTAATGTTTCCCGTTCTGGTAACAGAACATCGTTAATGTGCCTCTTGAAACTGACCGACTGTTTCTTTCTACTGCAATCTTTGATAGGAGTTGAAGCTTTGTGTTTTCGATGGTTTTGGACGAAATTCAAAGTATCTAGAAGCATTCGGTCCAAACATTTGATCGATTTTATCTTTCAATACAGCTTCATCAACATTCTTGAAATCTACTGTTATAAACAAATGAAAATATGGTATTTTCTCGTTTGGACCAACTTTTCCATAAATGCCACGCATCCCAGGCAAACTGTAAAATAAAAGTAAAAATAAGAAATTGGTCGTGCTAATAAATTTAAAAATGGCTCTGAACAGCGTATTTGTCATGGTGAATAACAACCTGTCATGTAGCCACATGGCAGGCACCTGGCTTAAAAGCACATAATTTCTGGAAAAAATAAAGAATCCTAACTGCAAATCCGAATACACTCACTTTCCACTACCATCTTAGACACTGCCAACACTCAATTTTTCTCAAACTTATAGATGTCTACACACACGCAAACACAAACTGATCTCAACCAACAAACGTAATATTTCATTAGTCTCTATGACACTCACAATGCATGCCATGTAAATATTACTTAATCTAAGATTTATAATAAAAAGTATCCTCTACTGATTACTACTCCATATGTGTCATATGCATGTCCTACTGTATATTTAACATTGTAAATACTCGACTTCATTTATAAATTGAAGATGACTTAATGTTATCAGTCGATTGTCTATATTTTAAATGCTTAATTAATCTAGTACTATTAAGATCATAGGAATATCATCCTCTCTTTACTAACGGTAAGTCCCTAGAGGTGACTATTGAGAAAATAACCTTTTGAGCTTTATGCACATCTTCTTTAATGTCATATTCATCATCAAGAAACATCTTTTCAAATGAATGATCATCTTCGGATTTGAAGAGATCATTTGACGACCATAACCAGGGCTATTATTGATGAAATTATCATCACTAGAACTGTCATCTCTAGTACTGTCATCATCAGAACTGTCATCTCCAGTACTGTCATCATCAGAACTGTCATCATTAAAGTTCTCATCTTTTGTGACGACTAAGAGGACCTCGAAAATTCAGAAGAAATAATTGAATTAATAAATTAATGAAAGAAAATATATAATGTATTAATAAACAAATACTATACAGATCAGAAAAAATTTTAATTCGTTTGAAGCCTAGCATCTTTATGAACTTACTATGCTCGCATATGATTAGCAAATTCAAATGAAAAGCGCTTACGAACATCGATTATGTGAGTAGCCCATTGGGTAGCCTGTCAAATATATGACCTCAAAATGGACTAGAAAAATAATGAGCACAGTTTTAATACTGTATATGTTTTGTTGTTAAATGCACCAAACTTCTTCAAGGCTTGAAATGAGCTTTTGCTCATTGTTCAATTGAATGTCTCAGTTGAACTGTCTCAAACCCTTTCTGTATTTTCTGAAATTCCTCGCTTAGATTGCGTAATACGTGACTGGGGTCACATCAAGGAAAATACGGCCCTTAAGATTTCTCACAAATTTTATGATAGACTTTTTTCCAAAATACTACATCACAACAACTTGTTTTCGATCACTTTTCTAACGTGATAAGAGATGTCATTCTCTTTACTGATAAAATGATTGATTAACGACTTGTATTTCTATTTTGGGGTCAAAAGCTATGTTTGCATAATATTAAAGTAATGACATTTTGAGCAAAAGACTATATTTTGACGATTTTACGCAAATAATGTTTAATCTTTGAAAATGAACGCTTGGTAAATCCATGCAGATACTATTAGCAAGTATTCAGCCCTATATTTAACACACCAACAAAGAACTATGATTAGCAAAATCGAGCTCCTTTTTATTTTGGTATTAACAGATGACCACATCCAGGCAATATAGCCTCAAGTGTATGTTCTGGTTTTATCTAATACTTTTCAACAACAGTATGATAAGATTAGGGCTCTTACCATTCTTTTGCCGATTGCAAGTAACTTTTATTTGATCTTTGAACGCTGATGGAGCTTTAATATCATGCAAGTATTTCATTGAGTTTATTACACAAAGATTAACATTTGTCACGCGCTAAATTTGTTCTCATTGTGACCTCACTTACTCGACACGCTAATTTAATTTTATACAAAAATTTAACGATGAGCTGTGGTCATGTGTTCGCTTTATTTCAACAATGCCAAAGAAGTTCATTGCAATGAACTTCACAAAAAATGACCCTAACACTTTTCAACCTCACAAATAGCTAAGCGACGAGCGGCTACTCATAAAATTTAAAAAAATGTATGTATTCGAAGCAACAATTGGTTTAAAATAACTATATAGCTACTACTGAATAGTAAGTTACTTAATTTAGGCAGAACGGTGTCAATTATGAAAGTAGTTGGAAATAAGTCCTTAGTAATCCATTTATTTTAATATAATTTTAAATACAGAAAAACAGTGGTACATTCTGTGACGTTATTGAGATTCTGTGATTTGATTAAGTAATTCTGTACGTTTAACCACATCGTGATTTGTTTTGCCAGGAAGTACTTTGAAAAGAAATAAATCTGTTTCGGTTTCACTTTTTATTTCATTAATTTCATTAAATGAAAATCCTAGATCTTGAAACGAAGCCAATATCACAAACCATTGCATGAAATTTCTAATCAGAAACTTTTCCTTTATTTTCATGGACTAATTTGTGAAATTAATGAAATCCAAATTAATAATAATAATACCATTGTTTAATACCTTTTTCTCTCACAAAACTCATCGCTTTTTAGACAATTGCTTAAATGTCCAGGTAAGTGCTAAGATCATATCTCATTTAATTTCAAACACCGACCGCATAAAATATTCATATGACATTCATTTCACGAGAAAACATGAGCCCAACAATATTGACCCAGCTCACCACTGTGTGACTTCATAGGCTCAGTGGTCAGAGCACTGCACCGCACCACAGAGGTCATGGGTTCGAGTCCCGCTGAGTCACCTGATTTTTCAGGTCCTGAGACGATTGCTTAAATTGTCCAGGTAAGTGCGAAGATCATATCTCATTTAATTTCAAACACCGCACTGCATAAAACATTCCATTTCACGAGAAAACATGAGCCCAACAATATTGACTCTGCCTACCACTGTGTGACTTCATAGCTCAGTCCGTCAGAGCAATGCACCGAAACTGCAGAGGTCATGGTTCGTGAGTCCCGCTGAGTCACCTGGGATTTTTCAGGTCCTGAGACGCATTGCTTAAATTGTCCAGCCAAGTGCGAAGATCATACATCTCATTTAATTTCAAACACTGCACTGCATAAAACATTCGTATGACATCTATTTCACGAGAAAACATGAGCCCAACAATATTGACCTGCTCACCACTGTGTGACTTCATAGCTCAGTGGTCAGAGCACTGCACTGGCACCGCAGAGGTCAAGTGGGTTTCAGTCCCGCTGAGTCACCTGATTTTTTCTGGGTCCTGAGACGATTGCTAAATTGTCCAGCTAAGTGCTAAGATCATATCTCATTAAATTTCAAACACCGTGACTGCATAAAAAATTCATATGACATTCATTTCACGAAAAAACATGGGCCCAACAATATTGACCTGCCTACCACTGTGTGACTTCATAGCTCAGTGTCAGAGAGCACTGCACCGCACCGCGAGAGGTCATGGGTTCGAGTCCTGTTGAGTCACCTGATTTTTCAGGTCCTGAGACGATTGCTTAAATTGTCCAGCTAAGTGCGAAGATCATATCTCATTTAATTTCAAACACTGCACTGCATAAAACATTCATATGACATTCATTTCACGAGAAAAACATGAGCTCAACAATATTGACCTGGTCATCACTGTGTGACTTCATAGCTCAGTGGTCAGAGCACTGCACCGCATAAAGAAAGGGTCATGGGTTCAAAACCTTGAGTCACCTGATTTTTTCAGGTCCTGAGTGACTATTGCTTAAATTGTGCCCAACTAAGTGCTAAGATCATATCCTCATTTATTTTCAAACACCGCACTTGCATAAAAAATTCATATGACATTCATTTCTCGAGAAAACATGAGCCCAACAATATTGACCTGCTCACCACTGTGTGACTTCATAGCTCAGTGGTCAGAGCACTGCACCGGCAACGCAGAGGCCGCGGGTTCGAGTCCTGTTGAGTCACCTGGATTTTTTCAGGTCCTGAGACGACATTAAGCTTAAATTATCCAGGTAAGTGCGAAGATCATATCTCATTTAATTTCAAACACTGCACTGCATAAAACATTCATATGACATTCATTTCACGAGAAAACATGAGCCCAACAATATTGACCTGCTCACAACTGCGTGACTTCATAGCTCAGTGCAGAGCACTGCACCGGCACCGCAGAGGTCAGCGGGTTGAGTCCCGTTGAGTCACCTGGATTTTTCAGGTCCTGAGAGAGCACGCAGATTAAGCTTAAATTGATTCTATGCGCTAATGCGAAGATCATATCTCATTTAATTTCAAACACTGCACTGCATAAACATTCATATGACATTCATTTCTAAATGGACTGCAAAATCATGAGCTCAACAATAGTGACCTTGCTCACCACTGTGTGACTTCATAGCTCAGTGGTCAGAAAGCACTGCACCGCACCGCAGAGGTCATGGGTTTGAGTCCCGCTGAGTCACCTGATTTTTTCAGGTCCCTGAGACGA